AGAAAAAACCCCACATCACCACACCCTGATTCCGGAAGCTGAGCATCGCTGATGGAGGGGATGATGGGCTCTGATCCTTAAGTTTGTGGCCCTCGGGCAGAGACGAGGGGGACTCTAGGCCAACCTCCTTCCTCCTCCAAAAGGACCCGGGAGGGACCTCTCACAAGGAGCTGGTGACCGTGGGGACTGTGCCTGTCATGATCTCCATGCCCGGGCCCATTCAATTGTGTCCACAGAGGCCCGCGTCTCAGGGGCCCGCGCCCGGCTCAGCGTCCGCTCATTGTGTCTAGCTGACAGTGGTTCTCAACCTTCCTAATGCCGCGACCCTTTAATACAGTTCCTCATGTTGTGGTGACCCCCAACCATAAAATTATTTTCGTTGCAAATTCATAACTGTAATTTGCTACTGTTATGAATCGTAATGTAAATATCTGATATGCAGGATGTATTTTCAGGGGTCTCGACCCACAGGTTGAGAACTGCTGGCAGGAGCCAGCGGCCTCAGGGTGCTCCTGACCCAGCCGCTCATCCCACCCAGTGCCCCTCTGGCCTCGGCTGCACCGTGGTGGAGAGTCCACTGTGACCTGTGGTGGCCCTTTTAGAAAAGTCTCTTTCCTACTAAACGGAAACCCGTCTAGTTCTAGCTACTCTCCACTTGTCCTACTTCCCCCTTAGGGCCACAGAGGGCACCTGGTAATAGTTCAGAGCTTTACAGACTGTGTCTATGTCTTCCCTGAATTGACCTAACCTCTGACATCCTGCACTGGAGCTGTGCTCGCCACTGTGGTTCTTGCTTCTGCCCAGCATGCCCTCCCTGAGGGACCTCTCCTTCACTCTGAGGGGAGGTGAGGCTGGGAGGAAATGAACCTGGATTTGCAGGGGCCACCTTCCCTGGCCATGTGGAGGCAGCCTGCACACCAAGGAAGGTAGACCAGGGACAGCATGGTCTAAGCCCGTGGAGTGTAACCCTGTAACGTATCTTCCCTTTCTGGCTTAGCAGGCTGATGTGGGTTTCAGACACTTGCAGGCGAAAGCATCCCACCTATACACTCCTCAGTCAGGGTTTGCACGTCCTCAGCACCTCTCCTTTGATTCCAGCCCTTCCCTCGTCTGGGAACCCTGTACCCCAGCGGGGTCACAGCAGAGCAGGCCCGCTGCCTCCCCGATATGGGCACCCTGTCCCTTGGAGGCAGGCCAAGGTGGTGCCTTTCCGGCAGCCACGCCAGACTGATGACTCATACGCAGCACAAACCCCAGCATCTCTTCCCACACGGGCTTCTGGTCCATGGATCTGGTGAACTAGTTCTCTGAGAGGAGCCAGCAACTGGAGCAACATCCACAAGACCAGGGAAGGCCTGGCATCAACACAGCTGCTGTTCATGACAGACAGCAACAACTTCCAACTGCTAATGCTCGGGGCACCCCCAGCTCCCAGCTAGTGAAACACCCCAAGGACACACCTTGCCTCCATCACATCAAACACGTTTCCTGGCATAACGACCCCCAGTTCGGTTCCATAGAAAACTTAACTCCTCCAGGCGCACAGTGGTAGGAGGAGAGTTTTAGGAAAGTCTGGGAGGAAAGGTGATTAAGAGCATGCGCTCCGGAGTCAGAGCAACACATAAATACTGACTCCCCAGTCACTGCTCATGTGGTTTCTCTCTCAGAGCTCCAGTCTGTACAACACAACCCGCCACCTCCCTCCCAGGACCGCTCAGGGGCTCACACACTCTATCCAAGCAAAGCACAGCGGCCGGCATGCGCGATACCCTGAACTGTGTTTTAGCTTCTCCGGGGAGTCAGGACACACAGGGACCCCTGGCCTTGCTCTGCTATCCTGTGCCTCGGTTTCCCTCTCTCTAGACTCCCTTTAACGCCAATCCTACAGTCTGGGCTGGATCTTTACTCCAGGACAACTGTGCGTTTCAGCTCTTCCACACAAACAGGGGTCAGGAGACAGCTACTCCCAGGCTTCTGGCCCAGGCACTTCATGGAGTTCCTCTTGCCCTGTGCACCGAGCATGGCGAAGGGGGTCTCACACACACCTGTGCTGCTGCCGGGCTGAGCCTCTGCCATAGGCCGAGGACGTGGATGCTCCACGAATTCTTCTGTGCCGACGGCATGGCCCCAGAGCAGGGGTGAGGAGAAACAGCGACATGGTGGCTGGCGGTCGGGCAGGCCAGGGACCAGGGGTGTGGGGGCACACGTGGCCGACGGAGGCTGGGGCTGTGGACCTTCCCCGGTCAGGTGGGGATGGTGGGCGTGGTGGAAGGACCCTGCCCTGTCCCATCAGGGCACGGGAGCACGGGCTGCACAGTTAGCTCACGCCCATGTCTGAGCACTCGGTACCCTGAGGCATTACTGCCACACTTACAATACTCGTTCACGCCACGGGAACTAGAAAATGCCCTGTTTTTGAGAGAACTCTGTTTTGCTCGTGTCCAAAAACCAAGTCAGACTTCTATTCACTGCACCTTCCTTCCAGAGCCGGAGATAGAATCTGGAGCATGAACGAGCTAGCTCCAATTCTTGAGGCCAAGGCCATACCACCCTCACCTGGCTCTCCTTGGCTTCCCCCATCCCCTTCCCTTTCATCTCAGCCAATGCAAATATTCTGGCTCTTCCAGGCTCCACCCACACGCCACCTCCTCTGGAAGTGGCAGCCCACAGAGATCCTCATTATCTTCGCTCTGAGCACCGGGCCACATCTTTGTAAACAAGTCTGTTATTTGGGGATGTTTTCTTTCCCCACCCAGAGAGCCCCGATTTTACTCTTGCACCTCCCCTAGGCTTCTCCAGGGCCGAGTACACAGCAAGTGCTCACTAGATACAGCAGTTAATTAGTTGTTTTCTAAACAGGCTGCCATCGGGCCTGATGCTCATACCGCACTTCTACAAGGCTGGAGGACAAGCCCCGTTAAAAATCTCTCAAGCCAGGTACCCCGGAGACTGGAGGAGCATGCCCCATGGCAGTCACCTGGGTGACTCCCACAGCCCTTGCCCACCTCTCAGGCCCGCAGTTAACTAAAGGTCACACTCCTTCGGTCTGTTTCATTGCTCAGGCATAAGAAGTGCTCTTCACAGGGGGAGCTTCCAGAGAGCCCGGTGAACGCCACAGTGGCAGCTGTCAGGCAGTGCCTCTCGGTTCCCCGGCTTCCTCGGGCTCTCTGTGCCACGGAGGCTGACTGGAGCTCGGAGCTTTATCACCAATGATCATCTCCTAAATGGGGGGTGGGAGGCGGCACCCCTGAGAGCCACGTAATTCCATGTGGAACCGTCTCCCCAGCAGCGAACAATCCACCGACCTACTTGGGACCAAAAGCACACACCAGGGGCTTCTCTGAACCAAACTCGGCCCCACCCCACTGCAGGCTCTGAAGAAGCAGCGGTTACTGTTTGGAGGGACCTTTGGTTCTGCCCAAGGACAGGAAGAGATCCAAATCTTGTGGCCTCATTCGGTAGGACAGAGACCTCACAGCAGAATTCACAAAAGACTAAGCGCAGACTCTGAGGTTGTGAGAAATAACACTCCTCTGACTGGACAGCAGCCGTCTCCATTTGGGATCCAGATTTGATCAGACCTGCACGGTCTTTGGCGTGGGCCTGGCTACGACGGAGCGGACACTCTCAGTAAGGTGAGTGTCCAAGGGACGCGAACCCCTGATGAGACTCACCTTTAGGTCCAGGTATTCCAGGTCTTTCTTCAGCTGGAGGTAGGTATCATCGGCCTTCAAAGGAAGCACAGAGAACCCAGTTATGAGCAGCAAGGGTTTCCAAGTTTATTTGTGTGTTTGGGCTTCATGAAGGGTTTACATTGCACAGCATCGGGGACAGGGACCACAGCAGACCAACACTTCCCGGGCCACAGAGGAAGCACAAATGTCTTGGTGCAGCTTGGAGCCCGCTCTCAGCATGATGGATCTTGCAGGTCGCTGTGGGGAAAGCCAGCTTGTCCCCTCATCAGCTGAGGGGGCAGTTTGATGGCAAGGAGGCAGACAGCACACATGCCACCAGAAGGCAAGGACAGCAATGCCATTGAGGCGGAGGTGATCTCCTGAGACTACAGAGGTCTCCCTGGAAGAGGACATGCTACACCTGAGCTCGGGACCCACCGATGGCCGGTACTCCAAATTTTGTCATCAAACCTTTGCACTGAGTTATTCACATGCATGAAGCAAAATGACCCATGATCGGTATGGGTAGCTGCCTGGAAGAGGCCGGGAGATGGCCCAGGGATGTCCCCTTATGACCTTGGGTTTCAGAATAATAAACACCAGTAGCCACTGGACGTTTCCTGGAAGCTGGAAGTTCTGGCTTCCTTGCTCAGTGTGGAGCCAGAGTGACCACATCGGGAACTACCCGAGGAAGGGCCAGAGTCAGACCTATCAGCTCGTATCGTCTCCGACAGCGCCGAGTTCTTCAGAATAATTACTAGGAAAAGTGAGAATAAGGAATAAGGAAGAGACTGCTCTCCTAGACGGCCCGCTTCCCGTGCAACAGGTCACGGACGCTGACTGTGAGGCAGAGAGGTTTCAAAAGCAGCCCAGGCACACTTTCTCAGCAGACTAAGAGGCCTCCAGCAAGCCAAGGCGAGCATGGCTGGGAAGGTGGTCCGTTTACAGCTCTGATGTAAAACAAACACACAAATAAACAACGTGACACATGCGGGCCGTGCTTTTAAGCATGAGGAGGCCTGAAGGACCATTGCCAGGGACACTAATTAGCAAGATCCTATTTCTGTCCCTAAACTGTCCCCTTACCCTTCCCTAGTTCCTTAATCAGCCCAGTCCCTACACACTTTCTTCTTCTTTATTATTGGTCCCGATACACTTCCCACGGCAGTAAGAGGGACAGAGCAATGTTATTAAATCATTAATAAATTATTAATAAATTAATATTATATAAATGTTATTTAAAAAACACCCAAATTCACAACTTAGGGTTTTTGTAAGTGTTCCCTTACTTTCACTCTTCCAAGTACATTTCCTGAGTCCTTCAGGTCCCACTAAAACAGGACAAGAAAGGCGACCATCCCATTGCCCTGTGCATCTGTCTTCTGCCGATATCTGTGCAACTCAGATGCTGTCTGCACCGGCATCTTCTTTAAGCTACTCCAGATGCTGGGAGGGCAAATGCTTGGACACTGTGCAGGCAGGACCTGGGCTTTGGATGTAACCAAGGGATCCCAGGCAAGTCATGTCCCTTCTTGACCTGCTGCCTGCTGTGTGCTAATAATTCCTGCCCTACCTCTCCTCTCCCAGGTCACTGTGAGGCTCACCAGGGTAAGGGATGTGAGGCTGCTTGGTCTATTGGCTGGGCACTCTGCCTTCTCCCTCCAGGCTGGCACACACCTTTAGGCACCCAGGAGGACCCATGGTGGTACCAAGGACGACAGCCAGCACAGCCCCTCGGACATGGCCACACACGAGCCTGCCAGTCCCTACTCACAGCCAGAGAAGCCACAGTTCAGGGCCCTCACACCACATGCAGCCTCCTCCCTGGTGCCCGGGCATGGGCTCCACCACCGTGGCACAGTGTCCAGCAGTCACATCCAGAAGCAAACAGGCAGGGAACGAGGGAGAGAGCCAGACAGCAAGGACAGACCAGAGCGTGGCACGGGGGAACATGGGCCAGCATGTCACTCCCTTGCCTCCGGGGTGGCCCCCGGCCCCAGAGACCTGGGGTGCTGACCTGGCAGGTGGGAAAGGCCAGCTGGTGCTGCAGTAACTGGCCCACGGCGAAATCTCGCACACTGGCCAGCTTGGCCTGGTGCCACCGTAACCGGGTGAGAAGCAGCGAGAGCTCCTCCAGCTGCAGGTGTGTAGACACATCACGAGGAAATTAGCCACCACAGGAGCACGTCGCTATAATTACTCTTCGCCCCGTGCTGGGCCAGCACTGATGCGACACCATTAAGTAATTGCTGCATTAATTCTGTCATTAGGACAAATAAAGGCACTGGCGGGAAAGGGGCTGCAGGAAGTGCTTTTTCCAGAAAACAGCAGCCAGCAGTGGCCCTCACCCAGACTCACACTTTGAAGGTGGTTAACTAATCAAAGCAAAGACCAGGAGAGGAGCTAACGAGAGAAGAGCAGGTGGCTGGAAAACGCTGTCCAAAAGAGAAGAGCCCACGTTCTCTTCCACTTCCCCAAGCTCTTCGTCGGGTCTGGGAAGGACCCAACGCTGGCGGCGTGACCCTGAGCAAGTCATTCGACTTCTCTGAGCCTCAGTTTTCTCATCTCTAAATTGGGGGTTGAAAACTGCCCTGCAGACCGCATTGGATTGGCTTGGGGGACGGAGGGGAGGGAAGGTCAGACGAGATTAGCCCTTTGCAGGCTGCACTATATCATTTGCCTGGAGGGGGAGATGAAGCCCCGCTTACCGATTTTCCATGTAAACTGGGAGCGCTGACAGTGTGGGTCATGTAACCCATGGAGGGCATGGAGCGTCGGTCCACGTGCGAGGAGTTCTGCAGGTGGAGAGAGAAGAAGTCACACTGAGGGCCGGGCAAGGGGGCTGGGCAAGGGGGCCAGAACCTCTGCCACTCACTGGCAGGGCAGTCTACCTCAGGCACATCACCTCTCTGAGCCTCACTCTTCATCTGTAAAATGAAGATACCCGCCTTCCTAACCCGGTTATAACAGTGACAAACTGTGAAAGCCCCCTGACGAGTGAAAACGTAAGTTGGATTATTATACACTAGAGGCCCGATGCACAAAATTCATGCAAGAGTAGGCCTTCCTTCCCCCAGCTGCCAGCACCGGCTTCCCTCTGGCACCCGGGACCTGGGCTTCCCTCACAGCCCTGGCTTCTGGTCTAATTAGCATATTACGCTTTTATTATTATAGATAATTAAACTGAACACTGACAGCTTTTCCTGCCTTCCAAGCTGCAAGGAAGCAGACTTCTAGCTGTCTGGCCCCATGCAAGTTACTCATTTCTTAATGCCTCAAGAGTTCTTATCAGTGAAATGGGCATAACAGCACCTACCTCTTTGGGCTGTTGCAAAAATTAAAGTAACTCCTTTAGCCCTGCACCTGAACCTAAAATTACTGTGTAAGTGTGACCTATCATTACTGCAAATTGCTCAAATTTGTGTTCAAACCACGTGAGGCTCCTGGTGCCCGAATGCTGGGCCCCAGCAGCCCGACAGCACTCCAGAGCCTCACCTTGGTGGTGTGGCCCCATGTCTTCCTGGGAGAACTGCCCAACGAGATGTCCACACTCCTCCTCTGGTCCGGTGGCCTCACTGTGACCCTCTCTGCTGGTGTGTGTGGCCGCCGGGGTGGAAAGGCCCGCGGGGGTCCCGGGGGAGGGATGTCCGAGGGAGATGGAGGCACGGAGATAGAGCGGGGCACTTCCAGCATGCTCCTGCTCCGGCCCTGCTCGGGGAACTCCGGGGAGATGGGCGCCGTGGGGCTGCCGTGCCGGAACTGCTGGCGCTGCTGCCACTCGTAGAGCTGCCACACGGTGCCATCGCGGTGTGCCCGGCGCTCCTCGCTCGACATCTTCAGGTGGCTGGCTCGGTCCTGCGCGTACTTGTAGTCACTCGGCAGGTTGCGGGGCGGAGGCGAGGAGCCCCCCGACGGGTGACGGGTGCTCCTGGGAAGAGTCTGGTAGTTTTCTGGGAAGGACAGCGACTGGCTGGGACCATGGCGAGGAAGGGTCTGGTCCAGGGGGAAGCTGAGGAGAGAGGAGGACAGGTAAGATGACGCCAGGGTCCGCGAGGCATCTGGAAACACAGCTAAGTAAACGTGCAAGGCCAGGCTGGTGAGTGAGCCCTGTAAGAAGCCCAGAGGACAATCAAAGCAGACACCCAGGACTTCCGTCTCTCGGCAAAGGACTCCAAAGCCATTTTCCCCTGTCAGCTTCGGAGGGTCAACCCTCTAGCAGGCCGACTTGGCCACCCCACGCCTATCACGTCAAGGGAGGAACCATGCCTTCTCCTCTCTCCCACTTAACCCCTGTCAGCTCTTCC